GTGTACCCGAGCAGGCGGCGGGTCGGGAAGCCGACCGACCCCGAGCGTATCCCTTTCGAGAGAAGACGCGCTGCCGAAGCGCGAGTGCCGCATGAATTTGCGAGGCGGGCTCGAGCGACAGCGCGGTGCCCGGGTACGCCGTGAGGAAGGCCAAAAAGCGAGAGCGTGATTCGCGAGGGTCGAGGGCGCGGCGTCGGAGTATATTTGCGAGCCAGTCCCACGCGGGAGCGCGAGCCAGGCATAATTAGTGAGGAAGTCCCGCGCGAGAGCGCAATCTTTCAGTAACTCCTGAAGAAGTAGAAGGCGGGAGCCGTTGTTGTTGTGACTCGGGGGCCAGGGGCGCAGTTTGTTGACCTCCAGTTTGCTCTTGTAACAGAAAAAGGGTGCGAGCCCCAGGAGGGGCATTTAAATGGAAAAGTGCAACGGTTACCAGAGGGGGATCAACAAACATCTTTTTGGGGAAATGAGAATTCATAAACAACAGCAACAACAGCAACAACCACAACCAGCATTTTAAGACGGTTCGCTCCTATCTGCTCGAGTGCCACTCAACGCGTATATCCCCAAGCCCTCGATACCCGCCCAATCCGTCTTCGATCGTACTCCTTTTGGGGTGTATACCTTTATGACCTGGAACGTGCATTTCGCGCAGCCCATGAGGCAGGGGAAGAGAGGACGGATGGAAGGAAGGGGTCGGGGGGAAGGAGGAGGATGAAACACGAGAGAGAGAGAGAGAGTAGCAGGAGGGGGGGCTAGGAGCAGAAAACACATGGCAGAACCAGATGGGCAGATCGGACCGACAGACCCGAACGGGCAGGTCGGGAAGACGGGCCCAGGCGGCCAGGTCGATCGAGCAGGCGGGTTGATGAATCGTGCGTCTTGCATGGATTTCGAGAAAGTCTCGAGCGATAACGCGATTCCTAAATAAATCGCGAGGAACTCTACAACGAGAGCGTGATTCCTGAGTGTCGAGGGCGCGGCATCTGAATAACTTGCAAGGAAGTCCCACGCGAGAGCGCGATTCTTACATAACATGTGAGGAAGTTCCGCGCGAGAGCGCGATTTGAGAATACATCGTGAGGAAGTCTCAAGCGGGAGCCGCTGTTGTTTCAAACTGGGGGCCAACAATTTGAATTCGAGCCTCAAGATTTTCGGTGTTAGCAAACAGTGTGCGAGCCCCGGGAAGGGCACGTACTTTAGTTGGAACAGCACAGTGTGCCCCGGAGGGGGATCAACAATACTGATCCATTACACGTGAGATTTCAACAACCAAGCAGCAACAACCACAGCAACAGCAGCAGCAACAGCAACAGCAACAGCAACAGCAACAGCGACAGCGACAGCGACAGCAACAGCAACAGCAACAGCAACACCGCCACCAACAACAGCAACAACAACACCGCCACCACCACCAACAACAACCGCAGCCCTGCTCCCTCCTCCCCGTGCTGCCCGGGCCCGGGCCGCCGGCACTCTGCGTGCGCCCGGGGTCCGGCGCGCCCCCTCGAGCGTGCTGCGCCGGCGCCTCGGGGGGCAGCCTGCTGCCCAGCGCCCCGTCGCGGGGCCTCGGCCCTCCTCCCTCGCAGGCTGCTGGGGGTCGACGTCGCGAGAAAATCACCACGCCGGGGGTCTGGGCTAGGGGGATGTTTCGGGTTCGAGGTTCGAGGCTTTCGGGCGCTCTCGTGGGCTCTCGGCGGCTTCTCAGCCGGGGGGTCGCTCTCACGTTTCAGGCGATCGCAGACATGGATCACGGGGGCGTGGATTGGCGACGGGTCCCGTTTCCACGGGACATCGCGGGGTTCTGCCGCCGAGCGAGGCGGCACGGGCCGCATTTTGGGGAGGGAACCTCCCCAGATCCATGGATTCTGCGACCGCGCGCCACATCCATGGATCGCTAGTCCATGTTTGCGCGCGCCCGACTTTGGACGTTGGCCATACACAAGCATCTTGTCAGCTGCGTTCTTCCAGTGGCGCTGCGCCTGCGAGCGTCGCTGCCTCGATGCGCCCGCTTTGATGCGCAACCCGTGCCGTGCTCAAAATCCGTCCGTTTCGACACGTTGCGTGTAGGTTCGACGTGTTGGCCCACGCTTGGGCGAACGTATCGCGCCAGACCGAGGTTGACAGTTTACGCGTGAAGCTCCGTATCAATACGCTGCGCGTTGCGTGTTGCGAATTGGGGCAGCTGGGCCTGAGTGAGAGATTTCTGACTTAAGCTGTAGGCCATCAAACTACACCAGAGAAAAGCCCCAATCAGTGGATGGTTTGATCGATAAGGAGATCGACCTGGAACCCCGGAACCCGGTAAGCACCGAAATCGGCCCGGAACCAAGAACCCGGGACCCCAGAACCTGGAACCCGGGATCCCAGCCGGCCACCAACATGGGCGGGACAGTTTCGCCAAATCTTTCAATTTTCGCGAGGAACCCTTCAATGCAAGCACTGATTGGGGAATGACGCCTGGCGGGCGCAGCAGAGAGCAGAAAGGCGCAGGAGGCTAAGAGAAGACAGTGTGCAAAAGTCAGCTGCTACCTTGCGCCCTTTCGCCGGGCCTCGTCAGAAGGCGGCGGGACTTTTCAGAAGCCCCTGCGCCTTCTGAGAGGTTGTTTGTTATGTTTTCGGGGAATCTTCCAAACACTTCTCGGAAGGCCAGGGGGCTTCCGAGCCTTCTGAGGAGGCCCGCCCCTTCTTACTTCCCCCCGGGCTCGCTGATCCGCATCGTCATCTTCCTCATTCTTCTGTCCGCCTCGTTTCCGATCCTCCTCCTTTTCCTGCTGCTGTTCGTCCTCGTCCCCCTCCTTCCTTGGCCCCCTCCCCTTCCTCTTGCTAATATTCCCTCTCATCCACTGCTTTCTCATCCCATGTCGGTCTTCTTTGGGGTTCCGGGTTCGCCATTACTCGCGTCGGTGGACAGAAAAATAATCAGCGCCAGAGGAAGGGATAGGTGGGATGGGTCAAATGTCACGTACGGCGCGGGTGCACCAAGCTTGCCTCCTCTCTCCTCGTCCTCTCCTCCTCCTCCATGCTCCTCCTCTTTTTGTTCCTCCCTCATCCTCCTTCCTGTGGGCGAGGGCTGTGGTGAGGATGCCTTATGAACGGCGCGTTGTGCATCCCAGATTTGCGAACTCGTGGCCTGGCTGCGAGTTGTTCGCGTACGAATCGATACAATGTATCAACACATGTCGTCCCAGGCTTCTTCTTGATGCGTGTCTGTATGTGAACCTGTATGTTGCTTGTGCTGCTCTGGATCTGGCGATCGGTCGCGCCACGCGTGAACACATCGCGACCACTGCGCTTGCCGCGTCGGGAGGAACGCGGCCCAGCGCGGGCAGGCCAACGTCGCGCGCTGTGTACCGAAGGCGGGTATCATGTGTTTGCATGCGCGCGAATCTCGTCCTCCATCAGTTGTTTGCTGTAATCTCCCATTTCGTCTCGCACTGGTTGCACCCATGTTTTGGGTGACGCGCGTTGGTGACTGGCGCGAGCACTTGTTTGCTCTGTTTCCTGACGCAGTAGGTGCTGGCTGGCTGGGTGCCCGTTGGGGGGCATGTCGGTTCTCCGCAGGGCCGTCCTGGGAGCCTTTGGACCCTCTTGGGCCGTCTTGGGGCCATCTTGGGCTCTCTGGGGCCCATCTTGGTCATCCGGGCCAACTGTGGGTGGTGTCTCGGGAGCTTCGTGGAGAGATTTGGACCGTCTTGGGGCTCTCCTATGCAGTTTTGGGGCTCTCTCGGGTGGTCCCTGGGCCTTGGGTGACGTGCATCGGGAGTGGGGACGGGGACGGGGCGGGGGGGGGGCGGGAGAGACGGGGAGGGGGAGATCCGAGGGACAGGGTGGAGGTGGGATGGCGTGGGAGGAGCGGGCCAGAGAGGGGGGTGCGGGAAAAGGGGAGTGGTAAGGACATGTGGTTTCCGCCATGCCGCCGACCCCCACAAGGAGTGAGTGTTTGAGACTGTCGTGGAAGGTAGGTCTTTGGTCAGGGGCCTCCTGGATGAATCCGAGGTTCTCGTGGGATGCCTCTCTGGGGCCTCTTGGCATATCTTGGGGCCATGTGAGAGGCTTCTTGGGGGGCCTCGTGGGGGCCTTTGGGGGGCTTCTTGGGGGTGTCTTGGAGGCCCCTTGGGGCCTCTTGGAGGCCCCTCGGGGGCATCCAGGTGGCTCGAGGGGCCATCTCGGTGGGAAAGGCTCGAAGTGTCGGTTCGTATTGCCCGTCTTGGGCTTTCTCCGGGCCCTCTTGGAGCCCTCCAGGTGCTGTGTTGGGCCGTCTGGGGGCTCCTGGTGCTGTCAAGAGGCCCCAAAGACAACCCAAAAGCGCCTCCAGAGGATCGCCGAGAGGGCCCCAAGTTGCCGGAATCATCCCATTTCTGAAGAAAAGCATACATTTTCAGCACATTCGCATGTCAGTGTTGACGGAGAACACGACGGCACTAGTGGCCCCCAAGATCGCCTCATGACGGCCCATGATGCCTCCAGGAAAGCCCAAACACGGCCCAAGAGGCCATCTTGAAGCCATATTTAAGCCATCTGGGCCGTCATGACGCTCTCTTCGACTGTCTTGGCGCTCTCTCTGGGTCCTGTTTGGGCTGCCTTGGGGCTTTTTGGGGGCTCTGGAGGCCCAGGGGGTGCGTTGACGAGCTCGTCCCGGCCCCCTGGAGTGGCATGCTGGACCCCAGGGGAGGGAGAAATGGGGGAGGGGGAAGCCAAATGTCTAACATGCCTCTTCACCCCCGGCAAGCGGGGGTCGGCGGATACGTCTCATGAGACACCTCATGGTAGCCTTGTTGAGTAAAGCCCGCCAGAATGCCTGACTGCATGCCAGTTCGTAAGCCTTGCTTGCACTCGCACGGCTGAACATCTGTATAGTGAGACACCTGAAGGCAGCCGTGCCGAACAAAAAGTGAAGATTTGTGTCGGGCCCTCGGCAGCCTCGGAGCGCCACAGGCCCTCCCGTCGGCTGCGCGCTGGCGAGTGCCCTCTGGCGGCGCCGGGGGACCATCCGAGCACGGGGCTGGGAGAAAGGATCAGATCGTCCATCTGCCCCCGCCTCCAACTTCCAATCTACGCCCGCGCCCCAAGGCTGCCGAGCCCCCAGCCACTTCCAAGTGGAGGGGGCCAGGCGGGCGCGGGCTTGCTCCTTGTCGCGCTCCACTCCCCCAGGGTGCACCTCCTAGCCGCCTCCTGGGTCCTCCGTGGTGCTGGGAGACATGATCAGAACGTCCATGTGACCGCGTATGTCTCGAAGAAAGGAAATGACATTCACATAAATGTTGTGCGATCCGCGCGGATTTCTTCGATCTGCGCTGGGCCACCATGGCGGCACCTCCGGCGCCTTTTCTGGCGCGCTCCGCGCGCCATGGAGCGGGGTCGAGCGCGGATCCAAGAATTTCGCGCGGACCTCCAACAGTTTATGTTAAAGTGTTGTTGTCGTTGTTGTTGTTGTTGTTGTTGAACATTATTAATTCTAAAGAATAATTATTGTTGGGCCCCCTGGTGCACGCCCCCCCCGCCGCGCCTAGGCCGCAGCTACATTTTCATCATTTTCGTGAGGAAGCCTCAGGTAATTCGATGTGATCAAGATCCGGTTGTTTTGTTCCCCCCCGCTTTCCCTTGCAAAAAACACTATAAAATGAAATTTCTTGTTCAAATGTAATCAAATTTCAAGAATCCCTTGCAAAAAATAAGGTAAAGTGGACATTCGCGCGCGCAAGACGAAATCCTTCCAAAAGCTTAGTGTTCGGAGCGATTTCAACATAAAAACATCAAAAAACCAATGGTTTTTCAACAAAAAAATGTCAAAATCTCATCCCGCGCGCTCTTGCGGATTCGTAGGAAACCCAACTCTTTTTCAACATTTCTGTCAAACGGGCTTTTGCGAGCAACTTTTTCGAACTTCTGCGACAACGGTTGCGCACCTGCCAGGGCCATCATCCCTGTCAAATAATACCATGCGGGACAGATTCGTTTTTTCTTCGCGCGCGCACGCCGAAATCTCCAAAAACCATTGGGTTCTTAAGAATTTTACCACCGCGCATCATAAAATCACACGAATCGCACCGTAGGTCCTCGAAAAACAGCTGCACGACTTTTCAAAATTTCCACCCGCGCGCGCTGTCCGAAGGCTTAACAACTTCTGTGGGTTAACAAGGCTTAACAACTTCTGTGGGTGTACGAACGTAGGCTTAACAACTTCTGTGGGTGTGTACTCCACGCCAGTGTAGTAGCCACGGTCGTCCGCAGGCCACGAAGTGAAGTGTCCGAACGTCATAGGGCGGGAAGCTGGGTGTGGGTGGTGGCGAAGAGTCGTGTGGATATTTGGTAGAGCTTGCACTGCCCCCCCACAAAGTGGGGGTATTGGCTGGCGTCGCATGAAAACCCTGGCACTGGTGAGAACACTGAGCGTTCGGGTAAAGTGATTGTTGTTGTTGTTGTTACTATTGCTGTTGTCGTCGTCGTCGTGGTTGTTGTTGTTGCTGTTGCTGTTGTTGTTGGTGGTGTTGTTGTTGCTGTTGTTATTGTTGTTGTCGTTGTCGTCGTCGTTGTCGTCGTCGTCGTCGTGGTTGTTGTTGTTGCTGTTGTTGTTGCTGTTGCTGTTGTTGTTGTTGTTGTTGTTGTTGTTGCTGTTGTTGTTGTTGTTGTTGTTGCTGTTGTTGTTGTTGTTGCTGTTGTAATGCGGTTGTAATGTTGAAGGTGCTTGTCGCACAGTCGCGCCCTGTATCTTCCGACCCCTTCCTCCCAACATGACACTTGTCTTTCTCGAAGGGAAAGGCAGAGGAGGGGGAGGGGGGATAGGGAATGAGTCGGGCGAAGGTGGAGGAGAAGGGACTGGGAGGAAGAGGGGCGTGGGGGGTGCCTGTAGGGGACGAGGATGGGGAGCGGCGTGGTGACGGGGAAAAGAGGGTGGGGGAAAAAGTAAGGGCACGGGAAAGACAGGAGCGATGGGGGAGATGACAGGCAGAGTGGGCACGGGGCCTTGGGGAGGTGGAGTGGTCGGACGACAACGTCACCTGGTACCCCATGTGGAACGACACTACAATGGAGGCCACGTCGACGGAGCAGCAGGTGGCTTGTATACACAGGGGAGGAGGAGTCAGAAGGGGTTAAGCAAGCGGAGAAGGAGGCGGAAGAGGAGGATGAGAGAGAATTGAATTCGGAATCCATGGAAACATGTCAGGGAGGAGGATCAGGGAGAGGAGGAGGGGAAAAGGGCGGGGGAGGATAAGGAGGAAGAGGAAGATGGAGAGATGGAGGAGTGGGAGCAGCTACGAGGAGGGGAGGAGGAGGAGGAGGAGGAGGAGGAGGAGGAGGATAATACCGAGGAGGGATGATGAGAATGATGTTGGTGATGGTGATGGTGACTGCTGCTGCTAATGATGAGGAAGAATATGATACTGCAATGGGTGGTGTTGTTGCTGCTGGTGATGTTGCTAATGCTGATGAGGTTGATGTTGCATAGTGTGATGATGAGGATGGTGATTATGCTGATGACCACGATAGTGATGATGATGCTGGTGATAATGGTGCTAATGATGGTGCTGACGATGCTGATTACCAAATCATGGTGATGCTGATGTTGCTGGTAATAATGGTCATGCGTATGATGCTGATTGTGTTTATGATGTTGATAATGATACTCATGCTGATGATCAAACTGATGATACTGATGATGCTGACGATGACGATGAGGCTGCTGATGATGGTGATGGTGGTGGTGTTGTTGACGGTGATATTGACGATACTGATGGTGATTATGCTGGTAATGATGTTGGTGATGATGATGCTGCTGATGCTGCTGATGATGGTGATGATGATGCTGATGACGACGATGACGATGGTGACGATGACGATGTTGCTGCTGATACCGATGACGATGACGATGACAATGATGATGCTGATGACGATGATGATGATGCTGGTGATAGTGATGGTGATGAATATGACGATGATGGTGATGATCATGATAATGGTGTTGGTGCTAATAATGCTGATGATGACGATGATGGTGATGCTGATCATGGTGATAATCATGATGATGCTGATCATGATGATGTTGTTGGTGCTGGAAATGATGATGCTGATGATGATCATGATGACGATGATGCTGATGATGATGATGATGATGATGCTGCTGCTGCTGATGATGATGATGATGATGATTTTGACCATCATGGTGGTGGCGGTGGTGGTGATGGTGATGATGAGCGAAGTGGGGGATGATGAGAAACATAGAAGTTGGAAGCGGTAGAAAAGCAGGTTGCCACATGGGACTGGGCCGACCGACTCTTCGACATGCCGTTCTCCACCTCCCTCGACGGCCCTGGCGTCGGCACCGACCCTTTTTCTGCCTCTGCTGCGGCTGCTCTCTCCCTCTCTCTCTCTCTCCTCTGTTTTTCTCCGTCTGCCGTTGCCGCCGCCAGTCGTGCCGCTGCGGGCATCCCGTCGTCTGTCGTGTCGCCGTCGCCGTCCTGGCCGCCACCGTCGCCGCTGCCGCCTGTGGCTGCCTTTTTTCTCAGCCTGGACCTCTTGCCCCTTTTGGGGCGCGCGCGAGGCCAGTCTTGAGTCCTAGAGCCCCTCTCCCTATCTCTCTCTCTCTCTCTCTCTCGCTCTCCCTCTCTGTCTTCCCTTGCGGGGGAAGTCCGGGAAGGCGAGGGTCCTGATATTAGCTCGCTTGCCACCGGTGCACTTGACGGGGCAGCACGCCAGCGGCGCTGGAGCTTACCCACGTCTCATCGAGGCCCCTTTGAGCAGGACGAGGGACTCTCGCTGAGCGCCTTGGCGGCTAGGCAGCGGAAGGAAGAGGGGGAGGGGTAAGACGAAGCCAGGACGAGGATAGGTTCGCGTGAGGATACATCGACAATCTCTGAGATCCGGCGGCTGGAGGATGTCTCGGGCGCCGCGGCCTTCTCAGAGCGTCCCAGAACGCTCTGAGAGCGGTCCGAAGCCTGGTCTTAGTCCCGTCCGAAGGGTGAGGAGGAGGAGAAGGTGGAGGAGGAGGAGGAGGAGGAGGAGAAGGAGGAGGAGGAGGAGGAGGAGGAGGAGGAGCGGTCCGCGCTGGAACGGATCTGTCCTGGTCCTAGCCCCGTCCGAAGGAGGGAGGGAGGCGGAGTGTCTCGGGGGCTGTCGGTCGACTGCCAAGACACCCTTGCGTTGCGAAGAGCATCGCGACGGTAGGTTTTCCATGACTATTTTCGGCCTCCCGGGGCCCTCGCCGGGCCTCGGGACCGTCAACAAAACGACGCAGGATGAAAACCGGGCCCGGGGAAGGGGTCCCGACTTCTAAGGGTCGACGTTGCGAACAAAATCACCACGTCGGGGGTCTTGGAACCCATTCCAAGAAACACACACTGCTTGCCTCCAGGGTGCCTGGGTTAGAGAAGTGCTCCTGGTGATCGTTTCTTATTTATTTTTTTGCGGATCGGCGCGGGCCCCCAACCCCCCCCTCCCCCCCCATGGAGTAGATCTTGGCTGTTTTTGTCGGCGCCTGTTTCGAGCGGGTGGAGTCTCCCCCAGAGACAGCACTCTTGCAAGCAGTCGCACTAAGCAGGGGTCTGGAGCCAGAACCCCCCCCTCCCCTCCCCCTTCCGCCCAATGTCGAAACGCCGAATAAAAAAATGCTCACTTGGTGGTTGTGCTACAGAGGAGGCCCATGCCAAGCAACATCCTTCTTGCCTCCAGGATGCCCTAGGTGTCTTGGCTTCCGATGGTCTTGCCATGGAGAGCGTGGCGCTCCCACACCGAAGATCGATGGGCGTCCTGGGGTCTCAGGGTTGGGTTTCTTGTGGATGATTTCTTGTGGACGAGCCTCCACTGTAGTGGTCGTGGGTGTGGTGGTGGTCGTGGCTGCCCCATGGGAGGCAGAGGCTCTTGGCAGACATGCTTCCCCGCCGGACGGTTCCGGCACATCTGACGCCCGCAGGTGCCAGGCCAGCACAACGTCGATGAGGGCATTGGTAGTGGGTCTGCGTTGGCCGCGTCGATGGATTTTGCAGAGGCGACCATTGATGATTAATCCGAGACCTGGCGGACTTCATGGCCACGCTCATTTTTAGTCGTGTTTCCCTCCCTGGTCCATCGCACGCCTCGCAAACTTGCCACCCGGTGGCCACTTGCTTTTCCTGATTGCCTTTGGTTGATTGCAGCAGCCCGCTCTGTCCTTGTTTGTCACAAACAGTGACGCTTTGGATCGTTCGCATTTGACCTTTGCACGACGCACCCCCCTCACCTGGATGTGCAATGCCTCCGCGGACGGTGCAATCTATGCGCTGCAGGCTGTACGGTGTAAACTGTATGGTGTGTTCTACGTGGTGTCATACATTATGTGTTGCAAGCTGAGTGGTGCAAGCTATGTGGGAACAACTGCATAATCCAATACATGGTGCCGCCCAGCGCACGAGGCGCCCACGATGCGCCAACGGGAGGGCACCATGCGAGACCTCGGCGCACCCGCCCGGCTCACGAGCCGCCTATGATGTGCCCGCGAACTTTCACGAGCGCGCAGGAGGCGAAGCCTCGGCACACCCGGCCGGCGCACGACGCGCCCACGAGGTGCCCACGGGCGGACACCGGGCGAAACTTCGGCACGCCCTCCGAGCGCATGCGGCGCCCACGAGGCGCCCACGAGACGCCCCCGGGCGGGCACCAGCCGAACACCAGCAACACCCAGGCAATCACCTTCAGGAGTCCGAGGAGCTTGTGAGAGCGAGCGAGTGTGAAATCGATGAAATCGTTAGATCGGTGTCTCCTGGTTGTCCCGTGGTTGCCCAGTGGCCATAAGGTGGTAGTGCCGTGGTTGTTTCCAGTGGTTGTCCCGTGGTTGTCCCGCCGGTTGTCCCGTTGTCGTGTTGAGGTTGTTCCGTGGCCGCCCCGTGGTTGTCCCGCTGGTTGTCCTGCGGTTGTCACGCGGTCTTGTCCCGTGGTTGTCCCGTGGCTGCCCCGCGGTCCCCCCCCTGGTTGGCACGCGGTTGTCACTCGTTTTTCTCCCATGGTTGTCCCGTGGACGTCTTGTCGGTGCCCGTTGCTGTCCCGTGGCTGTCCCGTCTATAGATCGATAAAACATGAAACCTACACTTTCACATGCGAAAGAGCGTGTTCTACCGCTGCTGGCGGAAAACCGGGGGGCCACTGGGGGTTCTTACCCCGCCACCCCCCCCTCGAAAACCGGGGGGGGGGTCACTACCGGTTCGAACCCCCCCCCCCCCAGTCCATCATGAAAAGGAGGGGGTCACTACCGGTTCGAACCCCCCCCCTCCCCCCCTCGAAAACCGGGGGGGGCCACTACCGGTTCGAACCCCCCCCCCTCGAAAACCAAACCAGGGGGGGTCACTACCGGTTCCAACACCCCCCATCCCCCCCCCCCCCGCCGCCGGCAAACGAAACGATGCCCGCTCCTCGGGACAGTTGGAGAATGGTGGGGATGTTGGGACAGTGGTGGGAACGGTGGTGGTGGGGACAGTGGTGCGGGGACAGTGGGACAGTGGTGCGGACAGTGGTGGGGACGGTGGTGGTGGGGACAGTGGTGAGGGGACAGCGGGACAGTGGGGACGGTAGTGGTGGGGACAGTGGTGAAGGCGGTGGTGAGGACAGTGGTGGGACAGTAGTACAGTGGGGAGTGGTGGGGACAGTGGGGACAGTGGGCCAGTGAAGGGGACAGTGGGGACGGTGGGACAGCACAGTGGGACAGCGGCCGGGCCAGTGGGACAGTGGTGGGAACAGTGTGGACAGTGGGACGGTGGTGGGGACCGTGGGGAAAATGGGGAGAGTGGGACCGTGGTGGGACAATGGTGGGGAAAGTGGGGACAGTGAAACACTGGTGGGGGGCACTGGTGGGGACAGCGGGGACAATGGTGGGAACAGTGGGGATAGTGGGACACTGGTGGGGACAGTGGTGGGGGGGACAGTGGTGCGGGGACAGTGGGGATGTGGTGGAAACAGTGGGACAGTGGAGGGTACAGTGGTGGTGGCGACAGTGGTGAGGGCGGTGGCGATGACGGCGGTGGGATAATGGGACACAGGTACAGTAAGGACAGTGGTGGGGACAGTGGGGACAGTGGTGGAAACAGTGGGACAGCTCAGTGGGACAGCGGCGGGGACAGTGGGAGAGTGGGACAGTGGGGACAGTGGGACAGTGGCTGGGGCCGTGGAGAAAGTGGGGAGAGTGGAACCGTGGTGGAAACAGTGGTGGGGACAGTGGGGACAGTGCGACAGCGGTGGGGTCACTGGTGAGGACAGCGGTGACGGTGGTGGGAGCAGTGGGGACAGGGGTGCAGTCGTGCTGGGGACAGCAGTACGGTGGTAGGGACCCAGAGTTGGAGTTGTGTGTTGGCGGTGAGCGTGGGGGGGGGAGGGGTTCGAACCGGTAGTGACCCCCCACGGTTTTCGAGGGGGGGGGGAACCGGTAGTGACCCCCCCCCAGTTTTCGACAGGGGGGGGGGTTCGAACCGGTAGTGCCCCCCCCCGGTTTTCGAGGGGGGTGGGGGGGGGCTCGAACCGGTAGTGACCCCCTCCGCTTTTCGAGATGGGGAGGGGGGGGAGGGGGGGGTTCGAGCCGGTAGTGACACCTTTGGTTTTCTGGAGGTGGGGGGGTCGAACCGGTAGTGACCCTTCTCTGGTTTGCTGTGGCGGGGGGGGAGGGGTTCGAAACGGTAGTGACACCCCCCCCGGTTTTCCGGAGGGGGCGTGGGTGGGGGTTCGAACCAGTAGTGACCCTCCCCGGCGGTTTTCCGGAGGGGGGGGGGGTAGGGGAGGTGGGGGGTTTGCCAGGGGAAAGGGAGGGGGGGGGGTCCAGCAGGGGGAGGGATTTTCGGAGGGGGGGGCGGGGGGTACCCCCGGGCTCCTGAGGAAAAGGGGGGACATTTTCCAGAGTAAAGCGGCGGTGGATCACGCTCTCTCATACATGCACAGGTTGAGATTGATATCAATCGCACATAATCTGTGGAACAGTAGACATTGAGAACGACTGGTATTTGGATCGTGGGATCGGTGGATACATCGTAGGACCGATAGTTCGACAGAACAACGCATAGGTAGATATCATCATCGTCATCTGTATATATTTATGTATGAATCCGACCCCGCTCTCGCGGACCCTGCACGCACCGCCTTGCGGCCACTGCGCGAGGCAGAGGTCGCGCGGACAGCGCGAGTGCGGGTACAGTAAACACTGTATGCCTCCCTTCACTCCTCCCTCTTTCCCGATCGCTTTCACCTTACCCTGCAGAAGCGCCTAGCCAAGTGGGCGTTTACAGTTGAACCTGGTTTCTGGCCCCCGCTGCGAGACCTCTTCAGGTCTGTTTCTCCTGCGTGGCAGTCTGCTGCGCTCAATACGATTTCAGGGGCATGGCTGACGATAGCGAGGCTTAACACAGCAGGTGGCGGTGCTAAATGTAAATTCGGGTGCAAGTGTGAAGCTGGCGTGGACACGTTTAAGCACTACACTCAATGCCCAGTGCTGTGGCTGTGGGCTTACCCTCAAGAGGTCCCTGCCCCCGAGAGCCCGATCGCCAGGTTAGGTCTCAACCACACTCCAAATGCACAAGTCGTGGAGGCCATCGTGATTTCTTTCCACATGTATAATATAGTACGCGTCTCGCCGCCGCCCCCCCCCCCCTTTGAGGAGGAGTGGAATGGCCATCTTTACGGAATTCGCCGAGCAGCTATGGCTCTCGCCGATTTCTCTCGTGCGCCCGTTTAGGCCCGCCTCTGGAGGACCTTGCGAGCGCCCCTTGGGTCGAGCGATCTATATATATATATATATATATATATATATATATATAGATATCAGATCCAGCGCCAATCGCTAACTATAAGTTGCACCAGTCCCCCCAAAATGCTCCTTATCTCTGGGAGGGTCGTCTTATCATGAGTTAGTGTATCATCATGCTGCCCCCTGCTGAATCTGCTCCTCCTCCTCCTCCTCCTCCTCCTCCTCCTCCTCCTCCTCCTCCTCCTCTTCCTAGCTTCCATGTCCTCCCGAACCGACATTCAGCAGCGGCAGCGACCCCAAAGGCCCAAGAGAGACCTAGCGCTCACTCACTTTTACCTGCCTGGCTCGGCCACCGATGCATCTGGCGAGCCTATACGGGGGGCTGATGGTGGGTATCCTGCGCGTCGCCCTCTACAATCCCCTCTCCCTCGTGTCCGCAGGCCGTTTGAGGGAGAGCGCAGAGACCATGAACTGCGACCTGATTTTGCTGCCAGGGACGAGGGTGAGGGAATGGTCAGGCCGAGATTACCACACCGAGAACATCGGTAACAAGTTTGTAGCGATACACTTTGGATGGCAACGAGCTCCCTTCAGTAACAATGGCGCGGGGGTGTGCATAGTATTAGGTCGTCGTCTCAAGCGTCAACGTGTGTATGCTGTACATGCAGGCCCCCGAAGTCTGGCAGGCTTATATGGTGAACTACGAATTAAGAGTTGAACCATAGACATGACGGCAATATGTGCATACCCCCCACCGGCCTATGCGAGCGGACACAAAAAGTGTGCCCAGATACAGGCGGCGACGACGGTCGTGAAATATATGCGACAGAGACTCGAACAAACACGAGCAAGGAGTACCCCGATATGTGGCCTAGACATCAACTTTGGATTTGGGCTCTGGGAAGACGGAACGCCAGTAGATATAGATCAAGACCTCTTGGGGCCCCATCATCTTCGACCAAATGGTCCCGCGGGGGAGTTTTTTTTTTTTTTTTTTTTTTTTTCTTCCGAACATGCTTATCGACCTCGGATTTATGTCACCAGGGACATTTTGGCCAAACTCAGGACCCACTTACTTCGGAGCCCAGGGAGCCAAAGCTACCCTGGACGTCTTTGTCATTCCGAAGGGCCTGGGACCAGGTATAAGTCATTGTAATGCGGCATGGCAGACAGGACGAAGTCTACAACTTATACCAAAGAGCATCCCCTGAGATCACGCCCCAGTTGGTCTTGACATGAAGTACGAGATCCCCATCCCGATTCCCCTGGCACCACAAGAACGCTGGGATGTTCAGAAAGTATCGAAG